GAATGTAAAGAGAAGTCATCTGGCCAGAGCATACATTATGAAAGACCTCCTTAAATTAAATTAGTCTGCTAGCCCACAAAGTTTGTAAGTTGTTTAGAGAACTCTTGTCAGAAATCCCCTGGCTCTAGGGAAACTTGGGATGAGATTCTCCCCCTCCCCTGTGGAATTTGACACCTAATAAGAAAGGCATTTTCTCCTCTCTTACTATGCATAGATATTTTGAAGTGTTTTAAGGCTTTTAGAGTCTCTGCATGTCCCTTACTTTTAACTGTAGTGAACTGCCTGTATACACATTATTCCCTTTCCAAAACTTCTGCATTTCCATTCAGAAAGTCATAATGCAGTTATTATCAGAGATTTCCACATGGAGTTATTGAATCATATTGGTAAGCTTGGTTTATGCCTAGGTTCTGTGACATGAATGCACATTGTCTTGAATTAGTCTATTCGTCTGGCGTGTTGCTGAGTAATAGCGCACTGCAGCTCCTCTAACAAGCTGTGCAGATCAACTTGATAAATACTTGGTTAAGTATCAGTGTGCCTGGTGACGCAAAAGATAGATAGGAAGAAAGCATTGCACTGAAATATTTACAGTCTAAAGGTTTCACCCATCAATAGTTCACAGATACTGTCTTCAGGAATAAGTCCACTGAAGTGACTGGAACTACTCTTGCAAAAACAAGTTATGTATGTGTTTGCAATAAAGTCTTAAGAGACTTTAAACTTTAAATGAGATTCCATTTCAGGACAGGGCTCTAAATGAACTTCAGCAATGAAAGCAAATCAATGCGTAACAACATCCACCCTAAAGGAATCCTACTCCACTCAGCATTTACTAGAGAGATTTTCAAAAGAATTATTTCCTTTTTGTCACAAAAGGTTTGAAAATTTTAGTTAGCATCTCTGTGAGGAAGAAAATTTTGCTGTTTAACACTTAACAGAAGTGGTATATATTTCGTGTAAGATATGTTGTCATGATTCAACTTATGTTTTGGATGTAGTTTCCAAACAACAAGTAGATCAGTTATTTACATTTATGTTTCTCAACTCATACTTTAGTTTCTATGCAGTATGTTCATCTTTTTAAAGCACTGATTTTTGGCATTTATCAGTATCTGTGTATATCCAAACAAAAATCCTGTCCAAACAATGTTCAAGGAGAGTTCACAGTTACATCTAAAATCTGTACTTAGAAAAAAATTGATTGTGGATAGATATATCCTAGATATGTACATACTAGAAGATTTTAAAACAAAACAACAAATGGAAACATTGCAAGTGTCAGATTCATAACGTCAAACTACTAATTAAATCATCTACTTTCACAAATTGTCACATATATCTGTAGTTATATTTTTTCCTAATGCATTGATTTTGTACAATAGAAATGATAGATAAATTAAAATGAATGTAAATTAGAAAAAAAAAAATCTGATTTTTACCCTAATAACATTTGTTGAAAGACCGTCTATACTTCTGGACAGGAGCTGATATGAAAACTGTAGTATTTTTTTTCCATTAACAAAGAGGATATACTTAGATAATACTTAGTACAATACAGTTAAATAAGGTTTGCCTTCCTATGTGTTATAAGTTAATCAGACAAATGTATTTTCATACATGTTTTATATGAAAATATCAAAGCCAGTTACTAGTTAGATGGAAATATATGATATACAGAGAGACATGCTGTCAGTGCCAAATTTTGCTCTTTAGCGTACATGCACAACTCCTAATGAGATAACGAGCGAATGTATTTAAATAGTGCACTTCTTAAATCACTACATTTCAATATATGTTTTCAGACTATGAGCATATAATCAGATTCTTTTCCAAGCAGGTGTCCATTTGATTACTTAAAGTCCAAATTGTGGTCTGGCCATTGAGTATGCAGAGGTGGATAACAGGAAGGGCAAAGAAAATACAAGCCTTTTTGCATCAACAGGTGTCAACAGTAAATAGGGAAAAAAAGAGGGGAATAGGCTCAGGGGAATATACTTTCCCTGAATTGTACAGGTAGAAAAGAAAAAAAGATTTGGCAGAACTTTGACCGTTTTTTTCTGCAGTGATGATTGTGTTGCACGTACATGGCTTGTGTTAGGTGATACACCCAAGAGCAGGGGGAGGACAGCAGCAGGACCTCACAGGCTTTTCTTCTTTGGAAGTTCTCAAAGTCCTCCTGGGGCTGTTCTGAGAGGAGCAATGCAACACTCTCAGGGCAACAAACTACCCAGAGTGAGGAGACAGCTTTCACTAGTCCATGCAAATATCCCATTTAAGGGCTCAGATCTTGAATACTAAACTTCAATTAATGTTTTTATGGTCAAGTTATAAAACCATAAAAGCAGAGAGACAACAAGAATACAGATTCATATACAGTTAAAAAAAACCTACAGTTGCACTGCAATTGAAAAGACTAAAGCTAAATATGCATGCCACTCAGAAGTCCCATATAAGAAGAGAAGATTTTTAACAAAAAAAAAGCAAAACACAAATCCCAACACCAAAACCTGATACATATATCAATATGCAAAAATGAGGATGTTTGATTACTGTCTCCTAGACAGTAATCTCCTGCAGTGTTTAGTTGTCAAGTGATGAGATGGTTTATTTGGACATAAAGAGAACTGAAAGGATATTTATTCAGAATAAGTAAGTAAACAATCAGAAGTTAACAAGCAGGTATGTATTTACCATGGTTCTCAATACAGCAATACCTACCTCTGCACCACGCATTAACATTTTGTAAAATGTTTTCTTCAAAGTAAAGGGTACAATCCAAATGTCCCTAGGAAAACAATCAGCCAGACAATATCGGGTTCTCAGATTTGCTTGTACAAAGCTAGTGAAGGAATCATGGTGCTTTAGAAGTGACAGGCAGTCTGTTATTTACACAGTGGGTAGATTTAGATTTATCAAAACTATTTGAGAAGCCTAGACATAAAATTGATTGAATTCCATTATTCAGCAACAATCTTGAATGCTGAGATGAAGAAGCACACTCTAACCTGAGAACCTATTTTAGCTAGCAGAATTAAGTGGCTATTCTTTGCAGTATAAAATAGGAGTGGATCCATGGAGCAAATCAGTTGGTTCTCAAATGTTAACATCACAGTCATTTTGGAGTTTTACTATGAGCTGTTTTAACCTGGTTCCATGGACTGAAAACCCATTTGCAGTCAGAGCATGTTCCCACCCCATCCCCATTTGAAAGGAATCCAGTCTGCATGCTCAAGACTGCTCAGTGTTGCAAAATAGAATGCAATAAACATGGACAACTGGGAAAACCAAGAAGTGTTCTCCTGTTAAGCACTAAAATGCTACTGCAGATGCAACCAATAATACTATGCATGTACTCAGTGATGAGACAGAGGTGCTTTAGCTTACAATACTGAGAAGTCAATCTCTGCTTTGAAATTGCCTTTTGGTTGAAGTTATTTCCATTCACAGTGCATATGAAGTGATTAGAAACGAAGTCATGAGACTAGTTTTTCTAAAGTAAGGTGCTTACTGTTTGCATTATGAACAATTTGACAGATAATGTAGGATCTTCTGTTCAGCCTTTAATATTTTTATTATTATTTTATTTTTTCGTGTCCAGTAAAATGGAAATGGAGTATAACAATGCCCTTCGAATACACCAAAAATAGTCAGTAGTTTGAAATCACTGTTACGTATGTATCAAATACAGACATGACTTCAAAAATTAAAGAGATTATGACATTTTGTTTCACTATTATCAAAAGGGTGAAATGTTCTGTCTCCCCATGTCCAGAAGCTACACAAAAGGAAAAATTTTGGTGAGTCCACTACCCAATAGCCTGCCTCCACCTCTTGAATATCAGGAGGTAATACAGAAATTGTAGTGCGTGCAGAAGCTTAGCACCTGAGAAGTTGACAGAGTGCAGTGGTAAGTTACTTTGAGATACTGTGAACATATGTCAAATTACTAAAACACACAGAAATTTTGAGTCCTAGTACCTACTGCAACCACCAAGCCATAGAAAACTACTTTATTCCTAAACTTTTGTCATCCAGGTAAATTAGCTGGATTAAAACTACAACACATATCAATTAACTAAGATATAACTAGTGACTTAAAAATTACTGCTGATGAAATGTAAAAAATAGGATATCCAAAAGGATCACAGTAACATCAGATGGTTAAAGTCCTGATCTTTATTCAGTCTGAATAAGGAGGAGAAGCAGGAAGATACTCAGAAGCATGAGATACTCTTTTCCATAGCACAAAAAGAAAAAAAAAAAATTCTCAAAGTCTGGTCTGTTCATCCCTCAGTGTGAAAAGAACAATACTTTATAATCACTAGAACTTGCGATATGCAGTGAAGTGCTACAATGCATAGTATTCAGATTCTACAAAGTACAATGGAGATTACTATTTATTGTAGGTTTTGTCAAAAATTATTGTCAAAGTTTATGAAGCAAATGCTCCTAATCACCAGGAAAGTACATGAGCCCTGAAAGGATGGATCACGCCCACGCAAGCAAGCTACAGCATTCAAGGATTGCATGCAGTATCACGGTATAGTAACATAAAATGTATGGACAGCTTGCTCTTGTTACTCTGAAATAATTTTCCACCGCCTCAGGCCAAAGTTTATTAGAAACAGGGCATGATTATCCCCAAGTTTTATGCACGCTGACATTAAGAAGCATTATAAATGCTCAGTAAGCATTTTCCAACTCCAAAACCTCCAAGTACTTCTAGACCGAGTATCGTAGTAGCAAGTATTGTAGTGCTTAGCATGCTTTAACAGGTACCCTCTGAGGCAGGTTTGCGGGTATATAGACTGCAACTGTCAGCACGTCTTTGCTTATGCCTTTGCTCCAGTGCTTCCCATCAGAAAAACTAAATGCACAAGAAAAGAAATAGCTAAGAACTGCCTATCCTTTTTCTTGACAAGATATAACACAAGGGCAATTATACAACTGAGTTGGCGGTATGGAGCCAGATAGCCTATATTAATCTGTAAGCTTACCTTGGCATACAAACTTCAATTCCTTGGCATCTGTGACAGTGGTTCTTTTATCTGACCTCTTCTTTTCTGTTCGACGGTGGCTACGTCTTTTCTTTGTCTCTCCCCAAAGATTCGATCCACCATGCATGCTTGGGATGTTCAGAATGGCAATTCCTTCCAGAGAAATATTGGTTAAGTCTAGCTGAATTCCATCACACTGATTAGCAAGGAGGAAAATGGAAAGGAAAAAAAAAAGAGAGAAGAGAGAAAGCAGTAAAAGACAAAGAAAAATCAAAATGTTCTACCTGTCAGGTATTTTTTCTTCAACAATTCATCATTCTTAACACTGTTAATGGTTTATTCAGTGTTTACACCTAAGAGATATATCTGGAAAGAAGATATGAGATAGGAACAGATCCTCATTCAGCAGGCAAACATGATTCCTATTCAGCTCTTGATTGCTTAAGTGTGGGACCATTTGGTAGTCCTCTTGTTATGTGATACCTATTCATTGACCCAAGTGAAATATATTTGTAGCTTCACTACAGCTATTAGCAGAAAAACGCTCGTACTACAAAAATTTCTATAGCAATAACTGGCGGGTTTTTGTTGCCTGTTCCAGCTAAATTGCCTGTCTTACTATTTTGCAGTGGTGCTTGTCATTATAACAACCGACTCCCTTCCACATGAAACTGAATATAAAAGTCCCTGCATACAGAGCATATACAGCTTCATGGAAAAGCGTCTAAGTGGGCCTCAAGAGCACAGAACACCACACCGATACTAGTTTCAATCCAAAGACACAACTGGCACATTAATGTAGATCTATGCCTGACTAAAAACTCCAACTGAGAGGTAAGATTAAAATGCAGATGCAGCTACAGTACTTCTTATCCCAGAACTTCCATCAGCCAGTTTGCTGAAATACGCAACATTGCCAAAAGAAAACATGGGATACAGAGCTAAAGAAGAGGTATCAGTACTCTAAATGCCTTCCAAGACTTACTGGACACACAGAAGAGATCTTAGTCTCTGGGACAGTCCCTTCAATGATGGAATCATTGGTAGGGCACCTTGTGTCACTAGCATGTATTTCTCCTGCTTCCTACACCAACACTGGACATTGAGGCATTTCATAGGTGTACATTCCTTTGCTAAATTTGGCTTCAAACTATATCTTACAAAGGGACCATAATTTATACTTCCAGAAGAATGGTTCTGGGACCTTAACTTACCAGCCTGTTCACTGATGAACTGCAGCATCTTCTCAGGTGGCAAAAGCCTACATTTGCAAATGCAGTTCACCTGACAGACATTGGGTGAGATGTACCTAGCTTGATAGGATACACCTAGCCTTCATAGACTGTAATTTACTCAGGCTAAGTTCTCCTCCCCACCCACATTGGTTTAGGATCAGGGGAAGCTCTTAACCCATATAAAACATAGCAAAATACTGAAGAACCTCCACAGAAGAAAAAAAAAAAGACCCTACTTCAGATAACTACAGTTGAACCTCCAGGTGGAAGGCAAAGCATTCAGTTTCTACTTATTAATTCACCGAACCAGCCAAAGTTCCTAGAATTTATATACTTGTACCTTGGCTAGAGGTATATTAGCTTCATGCCTCACAACATAGCTAGAGTATATAGATACCCTGGCAAGTCACACGCACCTTATAGCGTACAGCAGCGTATTTTTAAAACATTAGATCATATTCCTGCAATGTTCTGCAAGCCAGCAGGGGGTCCAGTCATGCATTTAAAACTGATTAAGGGTCTTATTTTGTAATTCCAATATACAATAATCAGGAAGAAAACTGGAAAAATAATTAACCATGCTTCAGTAATAGTCCACTGACATCTTGCAGCTTGCTGCTCTGTGGGTCACTGGCACTTTTTCCTCTCTGCCTAAACCTTTATCACAGCTTTCAAGAAGAAAAGGAAAGTACAACTCAAAAATAACTGCACAAAATTATTTGTTTACCCTGAAACTTTCTGAGATCGTGAAACAGAACTGTATTACAATGCATACTCTGCATCTTCTTAATTCTTCTAAGAAGAGTGTAAATCTGGAGAGAGAACGATTTCAACATTAAGGTTTCCATTTCATATTTGCTCTTCAAGAATTAAATTTTAAACCTGTGGACTATATTCATATAGGGAAACCTTTAAAGTCAAAAGACATATCTGGAAGTGAGTTGGCAGTTGTGGCAACTACTGTAATTGAAAGTGTAACTTTTTTATCACACTTTTCTTACAAGAAAAAAGACATGGGTCTTCACTGTTATTCTGGAAGCAAATTTGCGGTTCCCCCCTATATTTTATATGTATTAAATATAAAGATGATTTATTTTACTAAAAATTCTGCTCATGTGTATGCTCACTTACTGCTATACATTCTAGATAAACAGATATTAATTTCATAATTAAAAGTAATCTTGTGTAAATACCCTGCAGGCCTCAATGAATCAAACACATACTGTGTGTCAGGCCTCCCACTGTCTTCAAGTGGAATGTACTGGCTGGATAATTAGATAGTACATATTTTTTAACCTTATTTGCATGCATATTATATCTTTTGCACACTGACAAGCAGCAGTAACAACAAAAGTCAGATTACCACAGGGAATTCCCACAAAGAAGTCTTCATTCCTTATAATTTGCAGCCTAAATTAAAATAATTTGATCTTTGACAAGGATGAAATGTCAAGCAGAAGGGGGTCCTCTACAAGCCACGGCCTGTGGCTTCTGAAATCTGCCTAATTTATGTCAGTCACTTCTTAATACATATTTAAGTATTACACGAGAAAGATGATAAATATGCAATCTGACACCTTTGGTATTTCCCTGCTGTTAATTTATAAAGGTCTGGCGTCCCCCAAACTGACTGGAATTATTTAAATAAAAGAAGAATTGTGAAATAGGATGGTGCAGGGTCTGGCTTCCATTTTCACTCAATATTGAACACAGCAGGTAGTACACTAAGACAATTATTTGACTAGGCCTCAGAATCCCACAGTGACGAGGAACTTTCTGAATTAGTAAAGGAGGATTTCTTTTGTTCATACACAGACAAGAAGTTTGCGCTACAGGCAGCTCTGCGTTGTCCTAACACATTCATACACTACAGCAACAAAACACAGATGTGTTCTGCTCCTTTTCTTGTTTGGTTGTTTTGTTGGTTTTTTTTTTTTTTTTCATTTGAAATAATGCAATGATGCTGCTATAAAATAAAAGCATGCTTTTAAAATGAGGACCGTGCCTCCTTAGATTAGAAATAAACACTAGCACTTCTATTTCTTTTTCACCTTCTTTCCTGGCCTCAGTCCCTTTTCAGGGGACTTCATTCACTAGATCAAAATTTTTCAGATCATCTCAAAGTTATACATATCCATGCCTGAAAACAGCTGAGATGAAGGCTTTGCTATGTAACCAGTATCATGCAAGACTACATGACTGTTTGAACTCCTTGTCGTCCCCCCCCATCAATACCAGGTGGCATAGTAGGCTTCCTCTGGTACCGCAATGCTTTTACGGCGCTGCAGGTATGGACCGTGCCATCTTCCCTTACACTGTATCTATGCCTGCTCTCATTAAATACCCTTCACACATCTTTCTTTTTTTTCTGAAGTGGAAATAAAGTATGCGTGCTCTAAACTGTAAATTCTTAAGCGTCATTTACTGACACATTATTATTAAAAATAAAAACTTAATTTTACCCTGTGTTTTTTTTTCCCTTTAGAACATATGTTTCTCTCATCAACTTCTTGGATCCCAATTTTGAAATAAAAACACATCTTATCATGGGTAACATAGGAATTTAGTGTCCAAACTTTTTTCTGCATCTCACACAGAAGAAAATATACGGAACATGAGACATGAATGTATATCAGGAAAGCCAAGCTTAATTAGGTTACAAATCAAATATAGGGTCTGCCCATAGAATGTTTGATTGCTGCCTCCCAGCTCAGAGATACAGAACCTTAATCTTCATGGCCTTTGTTCAATCAAAATTTGGCTGTAGAGCAAACTATGCATTTTATTTGGAGTAAAATGTAGTATCATACACCAAGCTCTCATTTACAGCAACATCCCCAAGCAAGGGGCAGCAGGTTAAAAATCAGATGAAAACAGTGCTACTCCCAAGTGTTTATAACATACAAACAAGAAACATTAGATACAAGCATATTGGCAAGCATTGTTCATTTAAATGTAATTTACTCATTGTAAATAAATCTGTAAATACATCCTAACACTTCTTGTGTAAACATTTTGGAAACTATTTCCCCTATGATTTTTGTTCCTAATTGTAGGACTAATGATAATGACTGGGATAGGTGAAGTAAATATTAACAAACACGTCTCATATACTGGGAATGTAATACTTCATTGGTAATAATAGTGTTATTGATAGAAATTGGTAATAAATATACAACTGGTATCAGCAGCATCACAAACTTGTATGCATATTTGTTTGCTTTGGGATTGTAACATTTCATCACCTTTTCAACGGTTACAATTAGATGGTTTAAGATCATCACATCTTACAGGCTATGTAACATTTTTGCCGGATAGAAATATTTTCTTGGGAAAGCCTGCTCTTCAGTTTGTATTTAATCAAGAGGCACATTTAACTTGCAGTATATTAAGATCAAATCAAATCAGGTAAGCATTTATCCCAAAAAACTAATCAAATATTTTTCAGGCTACATGTACTTAAACCCAAGTGGGTGAAGCGCTGTATTGGGAAGCAAGGTGGGTTTTTTTTTTTTTTTTTTGGTTTGTTTCTCTGGGGTTTTGGTTTGATTGTTTATTTATTTATTTATTTTTAATCTAATATATGGAGCATGTTTGCACTTTAAAAAGAAACATAACAGCATAAGAGGCAAGTCTGGCACCACAGGTCTTAAAAGTTTCAGCCTCAGTATTCTTTGTTACTGTTACACTATCAGGTCCATGGTCCCTTCAGATGATTTCAGCCTGCACCTTTCAGGCTTTGACCAGCCTCCCATAGCTCTCACCATACCGCTGTGAGTGCCTCATGCTACTATACAAACACTCCATTGACATGTGCAGTTTCTTATTACTACTGGAAAGGAAAAGCACCATAATCCTCTTGAGAAATGATTTCATTATTTAACTTAAATTCTCAGGTTTGTACTTTCAATCATTTCACATTTTTTCATTTATTTATTTATAAGTATCAGTGCCCCAAACAGTTTATGTAATGTAGCCACTTATTCTATCAGCCATCAAAGTAGCAGTGGCACATTATTTTAAATTCCTATTTTGTCTGTAACTACCCTGTGTCTTTTCAGTTAATGTTCAATGTATAATGGAAAGATGACCCCTTGTGCAGAGAGAAAAGCTATTTAATGAAGGGGAATGATTCCAAAAAATATATATTCTTTAACCTTTATTCAGGAAAGTAAGTACAATTTTAGGGAATTGAGTTTTAAAGGTTATAAAAACTTGGGACCTAGAAATAATAAGATTTTTTTTTTTTATTTTAATCCTGCAGCAGCTCTCACTCCCTCCAACAGTCTTTCATTTTTCCATCTGACCTAGCCACACTCCCTATTGATTTCTAATGTTATATTTCACCTCTTGACCTCGTCTACTGTATTAAGACTTCACTAATCATCAAACTGAACTTTGTTCCAGTGTGCAGGGCTGTACTACAAATAGACACGATAAAAATAATATTTTGGAATATAGGGTCGAAAGGATGTGCACTGCTTTGCCTTGTTGGATTCAGGCACTCTGCACCCTTGCTCCCTGCATTTCAGCCAAACTAGTGACATTTCAAGGAGAAGGCAACAATTAGTTTCTTACTTCTATTTCTACAGATTCATGCAGCTTCTTACAGGTGGCTGAGAAAGTTTCCGAAGTGCCAAATTCAAAATACCAAAATTTGTTCTTCATTCTGAAACAAGAAAAAAAGAAAAGAAAAAAGAAAGATCTTATTCACTATCAATATGTGACAAAAGTGATCATCCTGTCTTCCATTATAAGTAATGGCAAAGGCTTGGGAACATGTGACATCCCATTTGAAATAGATGAGCTCATAATTTTCAAAGCTTAAATGTTGGTGTCAAGTTGTATGATATCCCCTAAAGGGATAACAGGAATGTGTTGAACTGACAGGTTCAAATGTACCTTTGACTTTTCTTTTTCAGTGACTACCAGAATATTTTTTGTCACTTAACCAGTGACATGCTTCAGAAAAATGTATTGATTTTATTTCATGTCTTACACCTACTGTACGATTTCTGATTCATGGTTAAAATCTCTATCCTGCAGAGTACCAGAATGTGCAGGCAGGGCACTCCCATCATGAAGAAGAGCCAAGACAAAAATGTAGCTTGCCTTCAGTTAGCTAAAGGTAAAAGCTTATTGTTCATGATGACAGATGAGATATTTGAAGAAAATAAAAAATTCCATCTCTAACAATCTTTAGATATTTTGCAGTAGGAGAGCTGTATTACCAGGTAATTAACTCACAGACACATTTTAAATGGGTGATGGGACCTGCATGTTGAAGTTCATTAACAGATTCTACAGAAAAATAAAACTGGATATAAATGCTAGTAAATTGCTTAGTTTGTCATGACAGCAGGCAGAGATTACACTTTTTTCTTCTTAAATACATAAAGACTGCAATTCTGTTTTACCAGATTTATTGCATACTGTTAAATACAATCAGGACACCAGCAGCACCATTTCAAATAAGTATGTGCAGTTTTGTTTAGCTCTCATGAGTAATTATTATTCTGTATCAAAACAAGAAGCTAAACTAAAAAAAAAAAAAAAAAAAAAACGGAATTAGAATTCATTATTCACATTTAGGAATCAGATGTGAGCACAGTTCATCCATTTGTATAAACTGTTTTCTGACACCGGCACAGCACATTGTGCTTGGAACTTGAAAATGACTGGGTTTGCATGAGCTAGAAGACGAGAAGAGTGAAACGCAGATGTAGATGACTGTCAAACATGTCAGCAAAAGTATAAATCCTGCCTTGGGTACTTATTTCAAATGGCTCTTAAAGTCCACTTAATGGCTCTTAAAGCCACAAAGGGAGAGGGGGCACTATGGTACTGGCCGTTCCCAGAAACCTGCTGGCACGCGAGCCAGCAGTCCCTGGTGCAGTACCAGTGGTGTGTAAGGGTGTCCAACCTGGCAGCCCACATGGGGCAGGGAACAGAAGAATAAGAGACAATTAGACACATCTCTGAAGAAAAAGTTACAAGCATTTCCAAAGGTTTCTGCACACAAAATCTGAAAATGTTGGAAACCTGCTCTAGGATAAATGGCATATTCTCCAAAGAGCTCCAACAACCAGAAGGGCTCAGACCAGATTCAGCTTCCAAGAGTCTGCAAGCGGAAGTGATATGATGCATGCTCCTTCTATACCTGCAGATTAGTTAGCATGCTGGCATGCTGACCTGGGATCAACTGTTCTATTTATGCTGATGTATATGAAGAAATGTAGAGTCCCATAATTTCCAAACAAGTGTGAACAAAGTACTGAATTCCTCTTGGGTCCCTTTGGGAAACCTGGATGTAGCTATTTTCCTGCTCCTTTCTACACAGGGATGATGAAGAATAATGAAACAATTAAAAAAACCTGATGTAAGTACTCAGAAAAATACTTTGTCATTTCTTTTGATCCTATTATTGAGTAAGATCAACAAGACTTTGCATCTTCTCCTTTGAGAGCCTTTCCTTTTGCTATTCAGTTATTTTTACCTCAAATGAAGCAACTTTTCTTTTTCTTTATTGAGAAACCTGCTTTAAATTGACTTCTTAGCACTGTATATAGTGACTTGCACAACGATGAAATAGATATATTTTAGAGCCATTCAGAATGTCAAATTCATGTATTTTGAGTTCAGCAAACAAAACCCTGCATTGTCAGTGCACTCAAGGTCTATTAGAACATTTAGATCTAGAAATCAAAACCTTGTAGTACCCTATAAGATTCTATTAGGTGAAAAAATGTAGTCTTGTGAGCCTGTCCTCCTTTTCCTGGTTTACTATATCTCTGTTTTTAAGGCTAGAAAGACAACCTACTTGACAGCTTTTCCAGTACAATGATAGTTGTAGATATAGATAATTCTATTCTTCATTTTCAAAAGGATTTACCAACTCCCTGTACCAGCTAT